GCACGTCTGGGAAGCATTCCGCCTTGCACGTGGCATCGACGTGCCCTTTGCTGCGGGGTCGGTCGACGACGTACCGAAACTGGCCCAGGCGAACGGCCAGGCTGCCGGGCGCTGCGCCCTCCGCCCTGCCCTTGGCGAATAAACGCACGCGGCACGCGTCGTCGTGCACGAGCGTCTTGAGCTCCGGGACGGCACTTGCCACGTCTGCCAAAGCGTCTCAGCAGTAATCACTTCTTCAAGAGCACCGACAATCCCGCTCTCTGAGACTGCGGCAAGGAAGCTGGCCGACCGTTCTGCCGCGCGGATGGCCGAGACAGACTCCTTGTGCGTCTTGCACGAGCACTTGTCTTTAGCGTATCCGGAAGCCCAGTCGCCTAAGACCAAGCGAAGCGGTTGTCGGCGCGACTCCCTGCGCTCTTGACGACGGCGTTTGCGCTCTTGAATGACCTGTTCTGCATTCTTAGCGAAATGCGCTTGCACGGTCGAGTCGGGGACCGTGCACGCGGGCTGCCAATTAGCGAAGCCCGTCATTCGCACTTCAACGTCAAGGTAAGCCATGGCGGACAGGGGCGCCCGCACGCGGTGCGCTTCGATTTCTCCAGCGAGGGCAGGGCGGTCGGCGAGCTCCTGGTGACGCCGGCAAAGCACTCCTTTCTGCAAAGGCGACTCTGGGCAACCACGCACCAAGTGCAAGTCCAGGGCGTCGTGGTAAACGGCCTCGGCGCACGGCGCGCCGCACGATCGCCGGTACAGCTTGGCGTTGCCGTCGACGCAGACGATGTCCATCCTGTCTCCGCTGGCCCGCCACGCGCGGAGGCGGCGCTCCTTCATGAGAGGGCGGTACCAGGATGCGCAACTCTGCAGGAAGCCCTCCAGAGGCAATTCCAACAAAGAGCTTGCCAGGGCAGCGCGAGCGCCCTCGCGCTCCAAAGATCTCTGCCACATCTGGTGCCGCACCCATGCGGATTCCAGCGATTGCTCCAGAGTCTCCGTGGCGACTTCTGGTTCCAACGCCCGCAAGATCTGGGCCTCTCCAAGGAAGGACGCCCTGTGCGCGTACAAACGGCAGGCCCACCGCTGCGCCCACTGATCATGCACGCCGAAAGACTTGTTGAGCATGAAGATCTCTGACGCAGGACAACCGGTATCCACCCTCTTCGTGAAACCGCCCTGGCCATTCCCAGAAGGGGACTCAACGTACCCACGCCAGTACTTATACATGTGCCCCTTGTCGCAACTGCGTTTGCATTGTTTGGCGTAGTGACGCATTACAAGACACCGCGGCTCCGCCACAACTAAGCATTTCACCGGGCTCCTTTGCGGCACAGGGACCAACGGGCCCGAACAAACAGGGCAGCATGACCAGGTCGTCGTGAGCTCTGGCAGGAGCGCCGCCCTGGCGCCTGCAGCACTGGAACCCCCGCTGGATGCGGCTGCCGGGGCAGAACCAGGCACGGCGTCGCGTGAGCTTGCGGGCGCGCCCATGGCCCGCGGGCCGGACCCTGGGCGCGTAGCAGAGCAAGACCGCGGATGCGCCGCCGCAGCGCCACTGGCGCCGGAGCCCCTGCAGGATGCGGCTGCCGCGGCGGAACTACGCACGGCGTCGTCTGCGCCGGCAAGCGCCTCCATGGCCTGGGGCCCAGGCCCCGGGCGCGCAACTGCAACGCAAGCCTTCCACAACGGCCGCACCGGCGGCGGAGGAGCACTGGCGGACGGTTGGCGGTGCGCCCGCAGGTCCGCTGCTCGCCACAACGGTCGCACTGGCGCCGCGCCAGCGTCCACAGTGCAGCGGCCACCGTGTTCACGACCGCCTCCTGTCCCAGGCGGCGCGAGGAGTGGTTGCTGCGCCGCCGGGCGAAGCGGTGAAGAAAGGGAAGTCGACGACTGGCGTGGAGACCATAATGGCCGCACGGGCAGCATGCAGGACAGCGAAGTAGCGTCCGCCAGACGCGAGCGAAAGACGGCTCGAGCCAAAATGCTTACGCAGACTAGAGCGGGGAAGGAGAAGGAGGAGGAGCAGCACCAAGAGGAGGAGGACCTCTTTATTCCTCCAATGACATCTGGCGACCTGTGGAGTAGTCCCACCAGCCCTCTGGGCGTAGGTGGTCTAAGGAGTTTCCTCTTCCAACCCCCTTTTTCCCCATCGGGGAAGGGTGTACCCCTCCCCCTACCCCCTCCCCCTGCACCTGGACGAGGCGTTCCGCGACGCGTTGGGGCGTCCAAGATAGCCCAAGACGGCTCCAAAAGGGCCTCAGAGAGTCCAAGATGGCCTCCAAGATAGCTCAACAGAGCGCAAAAAAAACTCAATATGGCTTCCAAGATGTTTCAAGAGGCCCCAAGACCACCCCAAGACGGTCCTTAGTTGCCAAAAAGCTCCCCAATCTTTACAAAACCCACAGAAATCAATGTTTGTTGCTTTCTCGCTTTTTCGCTTCCGATGGCCTTCCGAGGCCTCAAGTCAGCTCGAAAAGGGCCCATGAGGGCCCCAAGAGAGGCCCAAGAGAGCCCCAATACTGTCCCAAGAGAGCCCAAAAGCGCTCCAAGATCGCCCCAAGAGGGGTCCAGGAGGGGATTCTTGGGACTCCCGAGGGGCAGGGCGAATTGCGACCATCCCCTTCTTTGATCGATGTCCTCCAAGATGGCCCCAAGAGCGCCTCGAAAACTCCCAAAGGCGCTCCAAGGTCGCCTCATCACTTCAACTCCCCTGGGCAGCGTTTCTGGATGGGCTGGTGGGGATGCGCGAAGCGTCAACAATTTCTTGGAGGCTGCCTCTTCGGCTGCCTTGTTGGCTGCCTAGATGGTCTCCTATGTCCCCAACGCAGCCTCCGAAACGCTGAACAATGCTCCACGAGAGCCCCAAGACTGCCTCAAAGGCGTCCGAAATCCGCCACCGTGCCTGCACGGAGTGGGCGCGTTAGAATGCTCATCTGGTCCATTTTTGGGAAAGTTTCTATTTTTCTAGGGCCGCCCCCCCCCTCCCCCTCGCGCGCACCCATCGCAGACTGGCCCCCCTGAAATTGCTCCCCGGCGTTCTTTTCAGCCTCCAGACGGCCACGATGGCCTCCAAGAGGGCCCTCTGGTTCTGGTTCCGGGTCTGGCTTTGGCTCTGGCTCTGGTTCTGGTTCTGGCTCTGGTTCTGGCTCTGGGGCCGGCTCGGCTCTGGCTCTGCCCATGGTTCTGGGTTTGGCTTTGGCTCTGGCTCTGGCTCTGGTTCTGGTTCTGGCTCTGGCTCTGGTTCTGGTTCTGGCTCTGGCTCTGGTTCTGGTTCTGGTTCTGGCTGTGGCTCTGGTTCTGGTTCTGGCTCTGGCTCTGGCTCTGGTTCTGGCTCTGGCTCTGGCTCTCGTTATGGTTTTGGCTCTGGTTCCGGTTCTGCTTCTGGATCTGGCTTTGGTTGTGGTTCTGGTTCTGGCTATGGTTCTGGTTCGGGCTCTGGCTCTGCCTCTGGTTCTGGCTCTGGCTCTGGCTCTGGTTCTGGTTCTGGCTCTGGCTCTCGTTCTGGTTCTGGCTATGGTTCCTGTTCTGCTTCTGGATCTGGCTCTGGTTCACGCTCTGGTTTCTGTTCTGGTTCTGGCTATGGTTCTCGTTATGGCTTTGTTTCGGGCTCTGGGGCCGGCTCTGGTTCAGGCTCTAGTTCTGGCTCTGGGTCAGGTTCTGTTCTGGCTCCGGCTCGGGTTCTGACTCTGGTCATGATGGTGTTGGTTCTGGTTATGGTTCTCTGGTTCTCTGGCTCTGCCTCTGGTTCTGGGTTTGGTTTTGGCTCTGGCTATGGGCTTCTTGTTCTGGCACTGGTTCTGGCTCTGGTTCTGCCGGCTTCTAGTTTGGCTCTGGTGCTTCTGGTTCCGGTTCTGGCTTTGGCTCTGGTGTTGATTCTCGCTGTGGTTCTCGCTTTGGTTCGGGCTTTGGCTCTGGATCTGGTTCGGGCTCTGGCTCTGGTTCTGGTTCTGGCTTTGCTTCTGGCTCTGGTTCTGGGTCTGGCTTTGGTTCAGGCTCTGGTTCTGCTTCTGGTTCTGGCTCTGGGGCCGGCTCTGGCTCTGGTTTTGGCTATGGTTCTGGCTCTGGCTCTGCTTGTCTTTCTGGGGTTGGGTCTGGGTGTGGTTACGGCCACGGCCGAAGATTTTGGTCGATAATGGCCGGTTTTTGCACGCCTTCCTACCGCGAGGGGATTCCAAGAAGCCTCTGGCGCATTTCCCTTGCGATTTGTATTGCACGTGCCATCGATTTTGCGCCATTCTGCGCCGTTAGGCCCCTTGCGCGCCCCCGGGGGCCCAGAGCGCCGGAAAAAAGAAACATATTCGTCGTTAGCGCCGGTTTTTTGTTCGATTCCAGGACGAAGGGTGTCCGGAAACTTCGGATCATCTGTTTCCCCAGATGGCGTTCATACATTTTCCGCGTCGACAGAAGGCCTGGCGCGGGGTCGGCCGGGAAACGTTTTTTTAGCTATCGAAAGGCGGCTGGGGCTTCCAGAAGTTTCCGCCCCCGGGTACCTCATGGGCATCCCCGGGGAACCCCAGATACGCCCTCGCTGTTTCTGCTGCGTTCTCCGGCGGGGTGGGTGGGAACGGAGGGAGGAGGAGGGGGAAGGAAGGATGCCAATGCTTTTGGCCGCGGGCCGCGGAGACTGCCCCCCCCCGCGCACGCCCGTGAAAGGCGCGGCGAAAACATAATAAACAATCACGTCGTGCATCAGCTGCACTTACCGCCTGCCCCTCGTGCTCATCATCCCTGACGGCCCCCGCCTCCTCCGCCTTTTCTCCACCCCCTCTTCCGTATCCGCCCCCTCCTGCGCATAATGATCCTCCTCATCCTGCCTTCCCGTTCCCGCCCTCGCCTACCTCGCCCACCTCTCCCGCCTACGCCTCCTCTTCTCCTCCATCCTCCTCCTCCCCCTCCTCCTCCTCCTCCTCCTCCTCCTCCTCCTCCTCCTCCTCCTCCTCCTCATTCTCCTCCTCCTCATCTTCCTCCTCCCCCGACGAGCGCCCCGCCTCCCGCAGCCACTCCGGCCGTCTCACGTGCGCGCGGGTCAGATCCCGAGCAACTTCTGACGCCGATGGCCCTGCCTCTGCTCCCTGCGCTTCGCCGCCGCCTGCAGAACAGCGTACCGGCCCTTCACCTCCTGCTCGCTCATGCCGACGCGCCCCGCCATGGCCGCTCCATGCGCACCCCCTCCCCGGAGAAAGATTTTCGCCGCCTTCACGACGATTTCGTCCTTCGTCTTCTGCTCGGCGAGCTCTGCAGGGGTGGGTTTCTGCCAGAACGACTCCTGCAAGTCGATGTGAAACCAGACGAGATGCCCGTTCTTCGGGGTCTTGCTCTGCCCCCATGCCGTCTCGTCGAGCCACGACCGCATCTCGGCGTTGAAGTCGGCCTCCTCCTGGGTCTCCTGGAGAGCGTCGCCTTGCACGGCGCAAACCATGGGCGTCACGCTAGGAAGGAGCGCGTTCGGGCAGAGCGAGGGCGGGCCCAGCGCCAGCCTGAACGCGCGCAACCTTCCGCGATGGTCACCTTTGGGTTTACGCAATGCGACCTGACACGTGGTCGTACGGGTCCCGCTTCTTCCCCCCCTTCTCGACGGCGTCCGTTTGGCCCTCGTTCTTCTCCATGTCTGCCGAGTCCTGCTGGGGGCCGCGGTCCTCTTGCTTGCGCCCCTGCTCCGCGTCCGTCTGTCGCTGCACCTCCTGCACGTTCTGCTCCAGTTTCTGCTCGCGGCCGCGCTCCGTCTGGCCCAGCCCCCGGTCTCCGGCCGTTTGCCACCCCTGCTCTTCCGGTCGGTTCCCCGACATCTGCTCGCGGCCTCGCTCCTTTGCGTCGGGCTCCTTCTCCCAGTACTTCTGCCGCTTCCAGTCCGCGCCCTCCTCCCCCTGCCAGCCCCAGTGATTGCGCTTCTTCCAGGCCCCCTGCGTCTGCGCCGAGGACTGCCACTCCTGCCACCCCTGCGTCGGACAGCGCAGGTTCCGCGGCGAAAATGCGCATCCCAGGGGCACCTCCGGCATCGCGCAGAAAGAACTTTCTTAGACATTCACCCCCTGTCTCCCCCAAGCAGACCGCGGGGGGAACTGGCCGTGCTCTTCTCTTCTCTCCGCGCGCCGCCCGAGGTGCCCCGGAAAATGCGATCGCGCGCATTTGTCCGCGGGGCGCGCCGCCCGCCCACGCCTGGCCCCACTCGGCGCCCGACCGCGAGGTGTTCGACCACGCGGCGTTCCAGCCGCCGCGCCACCAGCTGCCGCCCGAGCTGTCGCCCTTGCTGCGCTGGTCCTCCTGCGCGTTTTGCGCGGGCTCCCTGGGCCGCGTGGCGGTGGACTGCGGGGCCCATCCACCACCGCGCCACCAGCTGCCACTGTGGCCCTCCGGCGTCTCCTTCGGCGCGCCCTCGCCTCCCGGCGCACTATGGTCGTTGTCGCCCTTGGTGTCGGTCTTGCTCAGCTGGCACCCTGTCCCGCGCTCCGCGGGCCTGGTCTTCTCCGCGCTCGCCGGGGCCACGGCCGCGCGCGCGGTGGCGGCCAACTCTGGGCTCGCCTTGGCGAACCACGTCTCCTGGATCAGGGCGGGACGTTGTTCCAAGTTTGGGGATGTGCGTGGCCTGGGAATGGCAACGCTCGAGACTCCGATGTTGAATCTGGCTCTGTCTTTGG